GCTGCAATAATTTTATTCTTATACATAGTGTTGAAAGTCATCAAAAGCGAGGTGTTAAATTACTCATATAATAAGATGACCTAATGCTAAGGGATGACAAAATAAATGGACTTAAAAAAATCTTCCTAACATGTTACAACATAATCCAGATTGCTGTAATATTATAGCTTTTATGAAAAGTGTTTATTCCATAAGCTCAATCTACTGAAAAAGGTAATGTGTTGGATGCCGTGTAGAATGGAATATGAGAATTGTGGTTGTGGAATGTAGGTGTTACATATAACTGAGTTCTTATTAAATCCCAGAATATGAAAATGATTGCTAAGTCTGTTTCTAGAGCATTCATGTAGTACAATTTAGAGAATATCCAGAGTGTCTTTGGACTAGTAATGATTTTCTTCTGTGACCTTCTGCCAAGTACTTAATTTGCTCTCTTACAAAAGTAAGTGAATCCAGTATACATATGAATTAATTTTCAGAGAAGGTGGATAATTGAGACATTAAGAAGAGGCCAGTGTAAGAGGTGGCATTTTCTCAGAGCCTGTAATAAAGCTAGGGATTCCAAGAGACGGAAGTGAAGAGGAGAGGGGATTTTGGGGCATGGGGGCCAGTCTGTGCAAAGGCCTCATCAACTAGAACTTATTAAATGCTTCCTTTATGCCAAAAATGTGTGAAGGGCTAGGGTTACAAAGAAAGGCAGAAAATATTCCCTGCCCTCAAGGAGCTTACAGTCTAATGGCAGAGATGACACATAAACAACGATATACAAAATACACACACACACACACACACACACACACACACACACACGCATGCACGATAAATCAGGGGTAGTTTCAGAAGGAGCACACTGAGATTGAGGAGGGCTGGGAAATGCTTCTTGCAGAAGGTGGGGCCTTGACTGAGACATGCAGGAAGCCAGGGAGGCTAGGAGGCAGAGGTGATGGGGGAGAAAGTTCTGGGCATGGGGAAGAGTTGGTGAAAACATTTGGAGTTGTAGTGTCACATACAAGGATCAGAAGTCAGTGTCACTGCACCCTGGAGTATGTGCAAGTCATGATGGGTTTTAAAAGCCAAACAGAGGGGCAGCTAGGTGGTGCAGTGGATAGAGCACCGGCCCTGGAGTCAGGAGGACCTGAGTTCAAATCCAGCCTCAGATACATAACACTAACTACTTGTGTGACTGGGCAAGTTGCTTATCCCCCATTGCCTCACAAAGTAAAATTTTTTTTTAAATAAAAGCTAAATAAAGGATTTTATATTTGATCCTGGAAGTAATAGGGAGCCACTGGGGTTGACAGAATTGGGGGGCAGGGAGGAGGAGGGGAGGTGAAAGATGATATGATCAGACCATTTTTAAGGAAGGAGAATTCAACAGCTGAATGCAGGATGGATTGGAGGAGGGAGAGACCTGAAGCAGCGATGCTGACCAAGAGGCTGTTGCAATAGTCCAGGAGTGAGGTGACGAGGGCTGCACCAGGGTGGCTATTGTGCCAGAGAAGAGTGCACGTACGAGTGATGTTATAAAGGCAGAAATGAGATTATCTGACCTCTGATTGGATATGAACGAGAGGGAGGTGTTGAGGGCAACACCTCCGTTGTGAGTCTGGGTGACTGGAAAGTTAGGAAGGGGAGGATTTGAGGGGGAAAGGTAATGAGTTCAGTTCTGAACATGTTGAGTTTAAGATTTTTTTGGCACATCCATTTTGAGATATTTAATGGGCAGTTGGAGAGGAGAGGCTGGAGGTTCTGAGAGTCTTCCACATGGAGATGACCATTGAAACCATGGGTGCTAATGAGACTGTCAAGTGAAATAGTATAAATGAAAAAGAAAAGAGGACCCAGCACAGAGCTTTGGGCAATCCCCATGGTGAGCAGTCATGACATTGGTCTTGTTTGGAGAACAGCAAGTTGGCTGGAATACAGGAAGTCCAATTAGGAGGCTACTGCAGAAGTGCAGGTGAAAGGTGATGAGGTCTTGAAGTAGAGTTGTGGCTGTGTAATTGGAGAGGAGACAAATGCAAGATGTGTGGAGAAAAGAATCAACAGAACTTGGCAACTGATTGGATAGGGGGCTTAAGGGAGAGCGAAGTCAATGATAACCTGTAGATTGTAACTGCAGTAGTGCCTTTGACAAGAATAGGTAATATGGTAAGAGGGATGGGTTTTGGGGGGAAAGAAGATGAACTTGAGATGTCTGGCAGGCAGGACTTTAGTTTCACAGGGAGGCAAAGGCTGGATATTTACGTTGTGAATCATCGATGTCGAGGTGACAGAACCTATGGGACCCGGAGGTCACCAAGAGAGCGAGCCACGGAGGACACCCCCACGCAGGGAATGGGACAAAGGTGGTATATATACCACACCAAGGAAAACTGAGACAGAGAATGTCCGAGGAGGAGAAGGTCAGTGGCATGAAATGCTGCAGTGAAGGAGAGGATCAGGATTGAAAAAGGACCATTTGATCTGGCAATTATGATCTTAGCTTGGTGCGAGCCCTTCTAGCGAGTGGGTCACGAGCCAGATTCAGAGGATTTGAGGAGTGAGTGGGAGGTGAAGAAGTCGGGGCAACAAGTAGAGATGGCTTTTCCCCCTAGTGTTTTGACTGTGAAAGGGTAGGGAGATCTAGGAAATGCACCTAAGGAGCCGTGAGGTCAACTCAATGTTCTTTCAGGTCAGAGGAGAGCTTGGCCTGGCTGTAAGTAGTGGGGATGGAGCCGGAGATCCACAGAGAGGGACGTTCAAAGGGACACGCTGCAAAAACCATAGGAGGGGATAAGCTTGACCTTGGCCAGGGACTGGAGCAAACGAAGCAACAATGAGTTATTTTTTTAATTATTTAAGGTGTAGAGTTGAGTTATGATTTCCACTCCTGTGCTGTTAATAACATTGTTATTACCATATTAAAGAGGGAAGGAAAACCGGAGAGCCAAAATTAGTCAGCAGGTATGAATGTCTGTCATGATAAATAGGGAACAAGTAGTAGTCCATTAGGACTGGTCTGCGTAACCTTAGACAAGTCACCTAACTGCCCTGGGTTTGTTTTTTGTCTGTAAGATGAGGGGGCTGAGCTGGATGACCACAGTGAAATCTACGATCCAGGGTTTGCTTTGATTTCATTGGTTGGAGGAAGCTCCCCTGTCCAGTACAGATCAGCAGCTATTCTGCATCTGGACGTGCTCCAGAGGCAGGGCTTGAACTCAGGTTTTCCTGACTCCAAGACAGGTGCTTTTGCCTGGGTGTCCCTGTAAATAAGTCACAGTGCACTCTCCAAGGCTTGAATGTGCATGGCAGTTGCCCAGCCATATGGATAGAGGGAATTTCCCTTATGGAGGGAATCAGGTCCAAAACAATAAAGAAAAAAAGAGGAAAAATACAAAGGTGCACTTTATTGTTCTGAAAAGATTTTTCTAGTAAAGGCTGTCATTGAGGTTGAGCCCCTACTTTAAATGACTTTTTTTTAATACAGTTCACACACACACCCTAATGAAGCAAAACCATTCACTTGATAGGCAGTAATAATTGTAGTAAATTAGACCTTAAATCAACAAGATGGTGAGGGTTGATGATAAAAATGTAAACCTTATTAATGAATTTGCTGTTTTGTCAGATTCTAGCTCAGAAAGCCCTCAGTATCCTACGTCAACGTGTCCAGTCCTCGTAAAAAAACACATCTTAAATAATTAATAATAGATGGCCCTGGAGGGCTGTGTTGCTGTGAATATTCACTGTGCTCTTCTGCTTATTTTTCTCAGAATTAGATTTAACCTTCTTCCAATATCCTCTGAATATGCTTTTCTAACAGTCAGATCCTCAGGTCCAGAGGGGGTACTTCTCACCTATCTCCTATGCCACGGCACAAATGAATGGACCCAGTTCCTGGGGATTGGGGGGAGGGAGGTCATGTGGGGGCTATCACTAAAAGCCAGTGCTTCTTAACCTTTTTGTGTATCATGGCCCCCTCCTCAGAATATTTTAAAATGCATAAAATACATAGGATAACAAAGGAAATCAATTGTATTCTAAGTTACCAAAATACATATTTTTAAATACAAGTTCACAGACCCCAAGTTAAGAACCCCTCTGACTTAAGCATTTTCCCATATCTTCAGTTTAATAACTTCAAAGGCCATCATAAACTTGCTAGGCTGTATTATTTTCTGATTTAACACTATAAGCCAAACAGAGGGATGTTAGAATTGGAAACTGGGTTCTTTTATGTAAGTTATTATCTAAGAAAATCCTAAACACAAGTTATAAAGTTGTGAAGGTGGTAATAACCAGAAATGCTACTCTAATCTAGAAAGACTATTTGGGAAGAAAGGAGGAAGAGGTTCTACAGTTCTTCCTGCATTTAAAAAACAAACAAAACACCTTAACCTGAGAATTCCATGGATCTACTCCTTGTTTTGTGCTGAGAACTTGACCAGGGAATCAAGTGGAGAAAAGAACAGCTTCCTGGCTCCAGAAAGGGCCCCTGTACTTTAGCTAGGTCTTGCCACACTCCTTTTGTGTGACAGGATCCCAGGGTTGTTTTTGGCTGGCCAGTTTGACCAGGAGCGTTCCAAGCTTTCAAAGCACCTGAACTGGCAGAAGAGAGACTGTCTGATGGAAAGGCTGCTGAAGAACCATGGCTGTGCTCTCTGAAGACAGCTCTCTAATACTCAGTGGCCTGGCTGTTTGCAGACTCAGCCTGTAGCTGCCAATCAACAAAACATGAATATTTTATTTCACTGAATTGAATTCAAAACAAAACACCCCCCCCCCCCCGAAAGTCCTTCAGATGAGATTCTTCTTTGAAAGGGAGATAACCTGTAACCAGGACTGTCCCTTGGGAACTGTTTTGTATGGAGTAGGTTGGTTTTTCACAGCTACCTTGCTTTGAAGGGAAGGGTAATGCAGCCCAAACTCTTCGCCTGTAGCTGATAGTTAATGTCTGCATTGTTTTTAAGTATTCTCTGTTAGTCATTTTGGTTAATTCATGGCTTCTTTGTTTACAGAGCCCATAGGCAGCATGTCATCCATGGAAGTCAATGTAGACATGCTGGAGCAGATGGACCTGATGGACATGTCTGATCAAGAGGCCCTTGATGTCTTTTTGAACTCAGGAGAAGACAACTTGCTGTCTCCTGGATTAGGTATGAGCCAGACATTGGAGACTTCCCTGCCTCAATGAAACTGGATCAGTCTCATTGCTGGTATATATATTTTTTCTTCAAAAAGCTGTTTTTTGTTCATTTTCCACTTTTAAGATAACCAGCTGATGCTTGGGCTTTGCTTTGGCTTCAGTACACAAGGTATGAGTTTTGATTGGCTAAAAATCAATTATCCGTTGCAGTTATCCCAAAACTAACTTTGGACCAGTTGCTTGTAATGTACATTCTTCTCCCAAAGGAATAGGTGTCTTAGAGGGCAAGTGTGAAGATTTCTGCATAGAACAATCTTTAGTTCATCTCCCTCTTTTTCCTAAATGGAGTATTTCAGAGACTGTTCATTCCTTGGCTGGGCTCACACACATACATGCACACATTGATACATCCATAAACATGCTTTGGCTCAAGGCTGTCCCAAGAGTTGTTGAGCAGTTTTGTGTAAAACATGAGTATCTAGAAGTCAGGCACCTAGAGGTTGGGCACTTTAAAAAAGTGTCCAGCACTTCACAGCAACCACCTCTCAAAGCCTCCTTGAAATTGTTAACACAATTACACAATTAACATTTTAAAGCAGCTAGAATTTTGAGGTGAAAAATCAAAAATTTTTAACTTTTTCAGTGAGCTATTTAAGAAGCTAGAGCATAAGTTAGGAATAGGGACTGGCCCCTAGCAGCCATGAGATACTGTAACAGTTGTTTAGCTGTTCTTACATGCATGAAACACCAAGCATTGGGGACCAGCTCCCCAAGTAGGTTATTATATTGAGATTAAGTGTCCAGCCAGACCATGGCCCCCGTCATGATATTCATGACACTAAAGTTCATACACACCCATTTTTAATGACGAATTAAGGCAGCAAGGCTGAATGAGTTTTCAGTTGCCCTTAGAGCCAGAATACAGCTTGCTTACTTTACAAAAAAAGAAACTCTAGCCTCTAGAGGGAGTCACATAGTTTGGTAAGCCCTAGAGCCTGGACTAGAACCCACATCCACATGCCCTAGAAGCGCTGGGTTGGAGGGTCTATTCCATTACACTGGGTCTCCTTTCATTATCATTCTGCTAAAGAAGTTCCTCATCCATTTTTGCCCCCCAATCCACTTTTGAAATCTGGTCTTTGCTGCTCTTTTAAAAAAAAAACAATAGTAAGGTAAGTGGTGGGAGTTGCCCGCTTAGAAGAGACCTCAGGTCATTTAGTTTGAACCCTCCCCCAGTAAGTGAGTGGTAGTGGCTCTGTACTGCATCAACTTACCTGATGATGGCTTAGCATTTTCAGCTTCATTTTAGCATGTTCCACCATTTGTTCATGTCCATGAGAAGATACTGTGTGCTCCAGAACTGATTCTATTTCCTCATGCTAAACCATCCCATCAGGCCTATGCCTGGGCACTTAATCTGTATATTCTAGAACATGACACATTTTAACATACCTGTGCACATATGTCTCAAACCATTCATTTGTGAGTATTCCTTGCCTGGGCTGAAGGTCATTAGTACAAGGACACAAGTTGAGAAAGGGACTCAAAGGAATATAACAAACATTCAGTTATTAAGAAGAGGTCCTCTAAGGGGCACATGATCCATTTCAGGATTGCATTTCTATTTCTATTTCTATTTCTTTGGCCATCACTAACTTGTTGAGTGGCATAAGGCAATTTTTTACTCAGATTCAAAGCTGTAGAAAAAAAAGAAGACTGAAAGTTTATCTTTAGTTCATAATAGAAAAGAACACTTAAGGGTTTTTTGTTTTTGTTTTTTTTTTGCTTTTTTAAAGGCAGGCTGAGTATTTCTTTGTGATAAAATGCTAGACCTTGATTCCAAAAGACCTAGACTTCAGACCCCTGATACTTATGAGCTGTGTGGCCAGTAACAAGTACTTTAGCAATGACCTTTAGCGTACTCATCTGGAAAACGCCTCTATTACCTGTAGCAGAGGGTTGTTAAACATGCAATGATAGAATAGAATATAATCATAACTGTAATCATTACAAAGGCCAAGCTTTAAAACATTACTTAAACATGAGTTATTGTTATTACTCCAACCGTGTGGCATAACTGGGTACCCAGTGGTGACTGGAAGTGAGGGCAGCATTGATAATGGTCAGGAGCAACCACACCCCCACACCCCCACACCAGTTAACATGATTGCCTTTGGTGCTATCCAGCATATACCCCAGTACACTCCAGAAAGAGAAGCTCCCAGAATAAATGTAGCATCTTCCCTCTGGTGAATTTAAGTTAACTTTTCTTTTGCTCTTCTTGCAGGGCCTGATCCCAGTACCTGTCAGAATGAAATAAGCCTTGAGGTTCCCAGCCTTTCTGCATCTCGAAGCAAACCGTCTTTCCTGTCCTCAGTCTGCACTGACTCTGCCACCCAGGAGAACAGTGAAAGTGGAGAGTCCCCGGTGGTTCAGTCGGATGAGGAAGAAGTCCAAGTGGACACTGCTCTGGCTACTATAAAGGCCAGCTCCGATGTTAGTGATGAAAGTGACTCTTAAATTCCTGAAGCCTGGCCTTCATTTTTTGACTACACAGTATTTCAACGAAGACAGCTCAAGTTTTGACCAGATAGTCTGCCTGAAGTCATTTGTTTTATGGGGATACTAGTCTTTCGTAAAATTGCCAATAATGAGTGGGAATTGCCTAAAAGCACAGTTTTCTCTAACAATAAAATCTGAGAACTTTGAGCATTATTAAACTTTGTACAGCAAATAAATTCTGAAGCTCTTAGTCCTTTTTTTCCTGTGTATTTGTTATACATTAGACATAATTCCAAAAATACAAGGGCTTAAAGACAAAAGATACAGTTCCTTTTGGTGAGCCTGAAGAGCCTACACTTTAGAGAGCAAAGTGCATGGCACCTCTAAAATGCAGGTATTCACTTCTCCTTTGGTCCATGGTTGACAGAAAACCAAGTCAGCCACTCTGCTCTATAGGGATTTTGACTTGATCAATAAAATGACTCTTAGCTCAAAACAGATTTCACTCACCCCATCCTTACTCTCCTACCAAACTGTCCTAACCACTGTATGCAAGATCCACTTTTAACTTAGCAGAAATAGGCCCAAAGGAGCAGACCTGAACCTAAAACCAATACCCCTGGTCTGCCTCTGCCCCAGTCTCCTTGACAAGCAGCTGACACTACGGTGATGGAGGTGATGGTTTTTGTACAACTACCAACCTGGAACTCAATTCCGAGGTCCTAGTGTTTCAGCTTGTGCCTCTGCTGCCTTCACATAATTTTTGTGTGTGGGATGATGGTAAGTTGACTTACTGAAAAGAAGGCAAATGGTAAAGCAGTGAATTCAAGCAACAAAGTGACAGCAGGAGAGAGGTGGAGGAGATGCTGAAGGAGTTAAGAGCACATACAGCCCTCCCCAAGCCTTCACCTAGACATCGTGGCTCACAACAGGAACCATACATTTCACCTCTTGTTGGCACCTAGGACAGGCCATGTGAAAAGACTGGATTTTAAACATCAACCAGGGTCTGGAGAATAAAGACAGGGCTGCTCCTTTCTCTCTGATGTCTAATTTTCTACCATGGGTCATGAAGGGGAAGAATGCCAGGGAGGACACAGCGCCCCTCTGTCAGGCAAGAAAGAGCTCGTTCCACTCACTCATCTTCCACAAGACAGACAAATGTCCAAAAAACTGTTTTTATTATTAAACCTTGTAGTACAAACCTGAAAAGTAAACAAAAAAAAAAAAAAAACTGGCAATAAACAACAATGAAGTCTTTCCTTCCAAGGAAAGAGAGCAGAGCAGCGCTAATAAATTAAATGTCCAACTGTAAGCCATAGTCAGAAGTTTACTGTCAAAAAGAGGGGAAAAGTACACAGCAAGGCCATAAAAACTGGACAACCACATTGGAAAACACTCAACTTGTTTATGTTATTGTTCAATATTCCAAAAACAGTTCAGTCTTCTGCAACAACAACCAACAAATTGTATTCTAGGACTTCCCTGACAAGTCCCCACTGGCAAGCTCAGTGTGAGGTGGGTAGCTACGGTCTTGTTGAACTCAATTATGAAACAGAGGACAGCTTGTGAAAAGTTTCCCTTCTTTATTCCACACAGACTGTACACACAACCAGAAGAGGGCGACAGCTACTCCATTATGATTTTTCGTTGTTGTTCAGTGACGTAAGCAGCACTTATATAAATGTTACAAGAAAAACCCTGTAAGCATCCAGTCCAATCCAACCGATGAAGAAACGGAAACGTAAGGCTTTTCTTCATCTTGTCCCTTTGCCGCCCTTCCCACCCTCCCCACCGAGAAAAAAGGCTCAAGTATTTAAAACAATTTACAGGCATATGTACAAAAAGGGATGGGATCTTGTGTGTGTGTGTGTGTGTGTGTGTGTGTGTGTGTGTGTGTTTGTGTGTTTTGTTCTGTTTTGTTACAACATACAGGAAAAAAAAAAGACAAGATGAGGGCAGATGCATTTTCACATTCAAAAACAACTATGCAGACCTCCTAGTGGCTCTAAATGTGATCACAGAAATGAAACAAATTCAGAAAGGAAAGGATTAATGCTGACTTGTGTAACTATGTGAAACAACAACAGCCGTGGGATGAAAATGGAATGTCAGAAAGATTGCACGTCTATGACAAAGAAGCACTTAGGGCTTCAATCATTTTTTTTCTTTTTTTTTTTTTTCTTGTAAGGATGCTATTGAAGGGTTGTTTTTTTTTTGATAAAGTAGCCAACAGCACCAAAAAAATAACAGAATGGATTTCCTAATGAAATCAGGCACAGTTTTCCCTCACATGACCCCTCCAAGGTAGGCAGTCTTTTCTCTCTCTCTTTCTCTTTTTTTTTTTTCCTTAAACAGATGCATAGTGATGTGCTGGTAAAAGAACCTCGTCACTCCAAATCTCATCATTTTGCCTATGGTTAGGAAATAAAGTCCACCTTCAGCTGCCATAACCTCCCAAAGAAAAAGAATGGGCATCATCCAATTAAAAAAAAATTACAAAACTCATCTTGCACGTGACAGAAGAAAAGACAGCCAAAGTAAAGCAACTTCTTCTTTCAAGTTTTTGTTGTCTCCTATCCCCTTTCTCTCTAGAAAATCTGCTCACATGACTGGAGAACAAATTATAAAATACATCAAACTTCAACCTATTAAAAATGGGTTAAAAGTCTTTTTCCCCCACAGTTATGAAAATAATAAAAACAAAAAAACAAAATTCCCCACAAAAAAACAACCCCACCAAAAAAAAAAAAAATCCCAAAAAAACAAACCAATTCAACAACAACAACAAAAAAAAAACAAAAACAAAAAAAGGCTTTTACTTAGCCAAAGGGGTGATACAAATTAATATCTCAGCCCCTCAAGGGTTTTAAAACAGTGAATATACGGCAGTTTCCAAAAATCCAACTGCTGTATCTAACTATCCTAAGTACAAAAAAAATTTCAACAATTTAATGCTAAAACAAAATTAGTTCTCTAAAACCAGAAGAAAATCTTCTTTAGAGCTAGTGCAAAGACAGCTTGTATTCTACAGCAAGTACTCCAAACTAGAATATAATAATTACAAAAAAATATATATAAATCGACAATGAGTGTTGGCATCTTCATGATGAACTTGAAGCACTTTTGGATGAACTGGAGGATGAAAGCCTAGATGATGGCACGTCAACTGTTGCTCTCTTTCGGGGTCCTCTTTTTGGTGTAGGCTTGCTGATACAGTTCTCAATGCTGCCATTTTTCCCAGATACTTTCCCACAAATCTGATTGACCAGACTGATAATTTGCTCCTATTTGGAAAGGAAAGGAGAAAATGAAATTAACATATCAGGGAAAATCTCATCCCTTCCTCTAACTTCCTTGGCCCACAGCACTGGACATCAGGTAGCAAAAGCAATGAGAGAATCAGAGCACCTCCGGGTGGGTGGGCCCCACCAGGACGGTGAGTCCCTCCAGGAAAGCAATTCTACCAATGCTGATGCCAAAGAAGACCAACAGAACATGGGGCACAACTGCTCACAAACAGAAACTGTGATGGGAACACTGCCTGAGAGAGGCGGCCAGGAACACTGAAATGCCTCACCAGGAAGGAAAGGAGCCAGGTTAGAGGACACAGACATTACCGACTCCAAGGTTACCTATGCTTTACTCAAAGCATGACAAACACAGCTATATATGACTTCGTATTTCCCTTAAAAATGGATGGCAATCCTGTTCTTTGAACACCTGAATGAAGGCAAAAAGACAGCCCAAAGCACCGCCACGATGCAAACTCATTTTGGTTGGTCTGGGACTGAAATTGTGAGATATTGTAGCCAAAACCTTATATGTATTTTATGATTAGGAGTATTTTATGTGATGAATGTTAGGCTTAGCAGTCAAGACCAGCCTTTGGCTCAGTCTTCGTGACAATGGTCATTTAAAGTTAAAATAAAATAAGACACATCTTCTTAGCTCACACAAAATAATTTTTAGTGGATGAGTAGTTTTACCAGCAACATCTAAACACCAATTCACATAATTCAAAAAGGGAAGATGGAGCTTTTGCCTCCAAACAATCATAATTTAGCAAGAGCTACTTCACTTTGGTCACATGAAGATGGTCTACAGAAACATTTTGCCAAACCTTACACACTTCATCAACTATGCTCCCAATACCTTTCGCACAGAAGGGTAGAGGCAATGGAGTGAAACAAACTAATGTTCTTTTTCACCCACTGAGAGTAGCCACTAAGAAGCAGCTGTTTGCAAGATCAGTTTAATTTAAGATTTCACATGTATCTGGCTAAAAGAGAAGAGTCAAAGAGGAATTCAATTTGATACAACAGTCAGTAAGCACTATTGACACAGATATAGGAAGTGAGTGTAAGTTAATTTCTAAGAGTCAAAAGCTAGCTGCAAGTCAATGGAATGGTTTCAGGGACTGTGGAATGTGGTGCCATGGTCTCTTATTTTTAACCTATCTAAAATGACCCTACTCTTCTTCCCTGTCACCAGACTGTCAAGGGAAACAATTCCTCAGCCCTCTATAAGTTGAGTGCCCTAGTCAGTGTCAGCTACGTGTGGAGGTAGAGTTTTCTCTGCCCTATGTCCTCTGAGTGCCTGAACACCCAGGCAGGTGCAGACCTCTAGGATGCCAAGGTCCTTCCACCTGGAAGACTGAATCTCCAATGCTAGGGGCTGGTTTTGAAGTCTTTTTGTCCTCCCAGGTATAGTGGAGACACTATCGGTATAGGTGTGATGCCATCTCTACCTCCCCTCCCACCACCCCTCAAGAAAAACAACAAATCCTTAACTCTTAACTAGTTAATATCCAGACACTAGGCCTCATGCTGTGGTCAAGACCTTATCTGAGGGCCCAGTACATGCTCCACACGTCTGTCACCTGGGTGTACCTCATCTCTGGTCAGGTCCCTGAGACCAGAACAGCAGGTATTTACCAACTCAGATGAACAACAAAATCTCCCTGCTTCTCCCACTCCTGGTCTCTTAGGGTCTAGAGGGAAAAAAAGAGACTAATATTGTTAATGACTTCCTAGAGTCAAGGCAAGGAGCTACATTTCTTTGTGTCTCTAATTTCCACGCTCTTCCCTTGGCCACCATGCCACAACCACCTCTCCTCATCTGATGTTCACTTTGATGAGTCTTTATCACCCAGGCCAGCTCCACTAGTGCATAAATTATCTCCCATCCTTCCTCAGGGTCCACTTCCATGCCTACCTTTATACCAGGTTAATATACAGTATATGTGCA